AAAACAATCTTAATAGAAATGTTTACGTTTTGTACATCTTAAATACTAAAACAAGTCTTTGAAAAAGTTTTAATTGGTCTCAGATAATGTGATAAGACTGAGACGGACTGCTCTGTTGTTTGTAAGACACTTAGCCGCTGCTAAGTTAGAGACCGACCGCCGAGACTAAATTCTACACGAGTGATGTATCTAAATCATAAATACTTTGCTTACATAAAAGATATATTAAATATAAAATGAACAAACCATCAGTTAATCAAAGATTCTGCTAATAATTCTCAAAGAGAATAAAAAACAAATTGAGCAGTCTTTACGAGATAACAGATATAAAAATGTCGATAAATGCGAGTGAATAAAAATCGAGGTTGTTCCAAAGAAAACTAGAGAATTAATTTTTGTGTAAACACAGGACAAACAGACTTCCCGCGGTCAAGAATTATAATTACGATGATAGTCCTGCTTCCTGAATAGTCATTAGAACAGAATATTTATTGCTCTGTAAACGAAAAACTCCTTAGATAACAAAATATTTATTTTAAAGGGATAGAATAGAGATTTTTACTAGCTCGCAGTTTTAAACTTGAGATCAAAGTACTATAGGCTGATTTAATTTCGCGACTAAAAAAGTGGGCGTCAACAAAACAAAAAACGGAAAAAATAAACTGTAAATGTTATCATATTTTTATACACTAAATTGGCTTCCATTTCCCACGTTTTTCAATTAAAATTAATATTTTTGAACAAAAATATGTTTTAAAAACGTGTAAAATTGCCACACAAGAAAAAAACGTTTCGCTCTTGGTTTTTCAATCCTCGGTAGAATTCTCGAAATCTCAGTTAGATTTGGCAAAAAATATCGTTAGTTATAAATAATTGAAAAATAAAGATTTACCTTTCTCGTTTTTCATTATTTTAAAATTAATAAAGTAGCATTTTATCTTCATTTTTTGGGGTTGCTAATATTTATTTGTCATTTGCTGGTGTCAGCTAGTAAAAGTATGGTTGTATGACTAGAAGCAGCGCGCGCTCATTCGTGTATCCAATTTGTAAGCGATTAAGCTGGGTATTTTATGCCACATAATGAGAGGAATTACAAACAGCTCTCAAGTCACAAGCTTTAGTTCTCACACGTTCCATCAAATCCATCAAAAATTTATAAAAATTAATCGTGACACTATGGTTTCTCTTATCTTTGTTTGGAGGGTCAATTTTTTGTTATTTCGTATTGAATTAATAAAAGATAGTAACTGGAGACAGTAAAGATTTCCTGACTGCTGATCCCGTGCTCTGGTTTAACCTTCCAGTCATGATGTCTAAAACTATTTTCAAATCTTTGATGCAGAGATGTATAGATATATCTTAATGTTGTTAAAGTGTTTAGGGATTAAATCGCTAAAGAAATAGAACAAGAGAACTGCAGAAAGTGAATAAGTAAATACGATTTCAAAAAATAGAACTAGAACTACGAAAAAATGAAGGATTTTGCTTGATTTGAAGTAAGAAGTTGTAAAAATAAAATTCATTTGAGACCGAGTTAAAAAGTAGAAGTAGAAATAAGGGTAGAAAAAAATGGTGTAAAAAATGTATCTGGTGAATGTTAGTTAAGATTAAAACGATAATAGAAAAAGAATAACGAAAAAATGGTTTATGGAGAAAAATGGCTGGGATAACAAAAAAAAAAAAATGACCGGAAAAAAAAGGAAAAATGTAGGAAAACATTTTCAAAATAGGAAAAGAATTTAATAGATGTGAAAAATAGATTTAAGAAAGAATGAATGAATAAGAAAGATGAAATATAATAAATTCATTTAACATCTTAAAAAACTGAAAAGAAAGGAAAGGATAGTCGTATAAATAGATTTAAGTGAAGGGTGGTAACGAGAAGTCAATATTTGACTAATTAAAAAAGCGAAAAAATAAATTTTAGGTTCAAATTATTAACTTCAAAGCCACCGAGGGTATTCTTTATTCCGTTAAAACAAATTCATTACGCTTCGTTCGGGGCGTCAGAAGTTATTTTCTTGCTAAGTAAATTTGAAAGAACCCGACATGGTTGGTGTCAAAGCCGCGCGCCAACCGAGATTTAAGCTCTCTCAAGACTAATGCAATCAATAGCAATTTCCGTACGAAGCTACAAACCTTAATGCCTTGTTACGATTGTTTTCCTGATGGAAAAAATAACAGTGTCAAATCAGGTCGATTTTTATCTAAAAACACTTCAAATTGCTTAAGGCAAATCCGCCGTTACGACAACAAACTCGGCCAGGATGGCTACACGAAAATGTCATGCAAGATACCTATCACTACAAAGTTGTTTCCGGACGATTGAAGGAAGAGCAAGTCTTTTTGTGTTTCAAAGGTGATAGGAACTATTTAGGATGTGTGATTATGATTACGAATAAATGGAATCAGGAAAAGAATGTCTAATTGTAAATAAACAAGTCAAGGAACATTTTGGTTCGTGTTTTTTAATTACAAAAGGAATGAGGGAAAAAATGTCGATCATGACTTGATGTAAGTTTTAATTAGTGAAATCAAATTAGAGTTTAGATGAACTCCGAACCTAAGATGAAAATTCGATTTAAATTGTAAAAGAACTGAAGTCTTCGAAAAATGCGAGTGGAGAAAAATCATTAATGGAGAAAAAGAAGACTGAGAAGGAAAGGAAGGAAGTAAATAAGAGATAATGATAGAATGATAGAACAAAGAAAGGAAAAAGGAGGGGTTGTTTTGAAATTGAGAAAAGATAGAAAGATGACTTATGAGGGAAGAAAGAAAGAAAGAAGAAAGGAAGGAAGAAAGAAAGAAGAAAGGAAGGAAGAAAGAAAGAAAGAAAGAAAGAAAGAAAGAATCGATTTTAATACTAGAATTTCAAAAATAGCATTATCGAAAAGGCAAAAGAAAAAAACTGTATCTTAAAAGTTATCTTTTGAAAATAATTTGAAAATCAGATCAAATTGGATTGATACCAATTACGTCAGTGTTTGTGGATTCCCACGTTAAGAATCCTAAGATGGCAGTATTTGCTGGTTATCTCTGATAACATTATCAATTCTTTACAGCTTGTCAGTGGTCTAACCGTCTCCTCAAACAGGATGACGAACTACAAGATACTACAAGATAATGATGTAATCAGTGTGATGTAGCTATTGTACTGCTAACCGGTTTTCGTCTTATCTGTAGATCAATTCCAGGTCGTGCTTGTTTGGTTTTTGTATTAATGAGATGATGAGGTATAGAAGGGTGTTTTGTATAGAAAAAGTATTAATTACTAAGTATATTTCGTTCGTTTATTCGTTCATTCATTACTCAACGCATCAATGCATACATCCATGCACCCTTCCATCCATCCATCCATCCATCCATCCTTTCGTTTCCCATTTTTCAAAGTCATTTTAAACAAGAGAATCATATTCATATTCTTGTTTTAAACCATACATTTTTCGTCCTTTTCTTCTAATATATCAGATATTTATTCTTTCTTATTCATCTTCCTGTTCTGTGCCTCAAGTATTCTTCTCTTAAGTCGGTTTTTTGAAGTCCCGAGAACAGCTACTAAGTGTAGACTTATCAAAGCAGAAGTTAATTAACGTCTAGTTCTTTGATCATAAGAACTTCTGTAAAAAAAAAATAGACGCGAGAAAAGCTCCAAAACAAGAAAGGAAATCGGTGGAATCAAAGACTCTGAGAAGCCTATTTAAGAAACAATATTTTTAATCTTAATTATCATGACTTTGAAAACCGTCAGATTTTCCTGGACCCCATGTTTGAGGATGTTAAAAACATTGAATGATTTCTAAAGAGAGCTTTGTCGGTTGTGAATTGAGGATGAATAATAAAAAAGTAAAGCGGTTTTATGAAGGAAGTATTAAAAAAATGGTTTTGTTGCTAACTGGAAGTCAATCGGTCAAGGTATACTGACCCCATGCAGTTCGAAGAGATGGTATATATGACATGAAGATTCCGGCCACGAGGATATTTTTATCCCCAGTAGATGATATTCCAGGTCAAAATAATTGTCATCTTGTGGGACCTGACTTAAAGGGAGGGGCGTTGATACCAGTATCCACCACCTCTGGAAGCGAAATCCTGGATTTTGTCCATGAATAAATGCCTATTTTGGACCATTCTTTTGACTTTGCTCGGCCCTAATAGTTTCTTTCTTACCACTTTACTAGAAAAGAGATATTTACATGGTTTGACATTCTCAAAGCAATAATGTGGTCTGAAATGCGATCTCGCGAAAACATTCTATTCACTGTTACATTCCATTTCAGGACGTTTCTTTCCCTCGAGTCTTATTGATGGTAATGATGATGATGATGATGGTGGTGATGGTGATGATGATGATCATGGTTGTGGTGATAATGATGGTGATGATAATGAAGATGATGATGGTGATGATGATAGTGATGATGGTGATACTGGTAGTATTTTTGTTGATGGTATTGGTGGCAATCTCGATATCCATTGTGCATTCTTTAGCCTGTTATTCTCTTTAGTATTATACTCTCTTATTGACTATTAACGCACGACCCCGAAACAAAAGAATCTTATTCTCTGAAACATGGCACTTGGTCCGCTGAAAGGAGCAAAGACAATACCCGCAGTGAAAAGACATTTTTCTTTTCATACACAATTATGGGATTTTTGTTTGAATGCGTGCGCACACACACAAGTATCCTGCGTTCGCCCTAAAACTGACCCATGTTGGTTGACAGAGATAACCTCATGCATGCAATATGCCTGATGATGCTATGACTGATGATGAAGATAATCCTAGCATGCATGCTTGCAATATAGAGTGCAATCCAGTAGCATAGCCATGGAGTCACGAATACGAAGGAGTTGAGAAACGCAAAAGAAAAGGGAAATGCGTACTCGACTCTGTCCCGTGAATCTCCCATCTATAAAGCTCATTTTCTTTAAACTCCTATTTCATAAGCGCAACCCCAAGTAAGTGTCTAGCCTGTGATCACTATATGAACACTCACACTACATCAAAGAATTTTTTTATTTCAATATTCATATTGCTTAATAACGATATGTCAATAGTTAATGTTGAAACTAAAGGGAACTCAGAAACAATTCTGAGCCCCAGATGTGAATCGAACCCACGACCTTCCATATACTAGTCGGATGCTCTGGGACTCAGAATTTTTTCTCAGTTGCCTACATTTATATTCCATTATATTCCAAAAAAAACTCAAATAAATAATTGTTTAAAGTCTTTCTAGGCCAGTGCTAAGGCTGATCTTCTGAGGCGTGGCCAAAAAAAGCATTCCCCATAAAGTCACACAAAGAAAGAGAGCCAATTGCTTGATAAATATGAAATGGGATAATGAGATTTGGATCGAGAGAAGCGTCATCCTTTTTACTTAATGACGATGCTTTGCGTAATAAAGTTTCAGCAAATTTCATGGCCAGTTTTAGCAACATGCTCTCAATTGCATTGACCTCGACATTTTGTATGGTTAATGGCCTAAGACTAATACTAATGTCATTACAGATGTCTTTGATCCATTGTTGCTGTGGTGTTAGAGGGATGCTTATAGTTCCTAAGGAATTCGGGATCGACACACTAGGTTTCTTAGTGTCGAAAGAACTAACCACATCAATGTCAACATCTTCTTCACTCTCTTTCTGGCTTGAGGTTTCATTAAAGAGTTTTTCTTTGTCTTCAACTTCTTTTAAAATATCTTCAACAAGAGTCAAAGACGACAGCTCCATTTGGGCTACTTTTGAACATTTTTCACCAGTGCAAGAAAAAACTATTCCTGTGTCTAAGTTCTCTTTTGTGACTTGCTCAATTATCTTACCGCAGATCTTGCAGTACTCAACCTTTTCGTCTGTCACGAGATTCTCTTGAGGAGTGTACCCAAACCGTCTGCACCAAATCATCACGCCCTTCGTCGTCATGTCCGTATTTTGCGCGCATTTTTTAAATTGCGCACGAATTTTTGCGGCTCGTTGCCACTCAGCTGCTCGTCTTTTGCCGACATTCCACGACAAGAACTCTTCCGCCGATTTTGCACTGAATGGGTGCTTTACAACGTCTTTCTTTGATGAAATGAGAGGAATTTTCTCAGCAAAGCTATGCAAGTAATCCTCTGTTCCATCTTCAAGGATTTCTGAGGTATTTCTTAGGACTGGACTTGCGCATCTTGAACTGATTCGGCTCCCACATGGCGTAGATGCAACAGAAGACATAGGGGTATCCAGCCTTGACCTCTTAATTGATGAGGCGCCTGGAAGTTGTCCAGTTTCGGAACTTGTTGCACTAGAAGAATGTTCTCTTTTAAGCTTCACAACTTCTGGATTTTTAATGCTATTAATATCCGTTTTTGATGTTGTATCACTAGCTGAACTAGTGTCTTGTGGGATTTCCCAAGACACAGGGATTCCAAGATCTTCAAATGTCTTTTTGTCAATCTCCAGATCCACTACTGTCTCAGCACCAAGGGTCTGTAAACCTGTATAGGTCTTGTCGAGCTTCAACTCATGGATAATATCAACCCTCTTGTTCCTCGTACCCACAAAGTGTAGTTGGACCCTGATTGGGAACTCACCCCAGCCTCGCCTCGTCAGGTGGAAAGGGGGCTTATTGACCTCAATTATGTCATTAGGGCGATAACTGGGGTGCAGGAAGAACCATACCTTCTGAATGTAAACATCAATATGGGGGTCCTCTGGGGGTCCACGAACATATACCATCCATTTATGGGTAGATTTGTCATTCTCTTCACGCTTTTCAGGAGGGATGTACTTCGACGTGTTTCCAATAATGACTCTTTTCTTGACATAAAATCTTGCACCAGAACCAAACGCATTACTTTGGGATACAGCATCTTTTGTAGCATTCATATGGGTTACTTTCAAAATTGATGAGCCATTTAATTGCCTTCCTTGCGAATTCTTAGAGGTTTCTTCAGAACTTGTTACAGCTAAGTGGCTTTTCATGACCTTCTTAGCTTGAGTATCTACCAAATTAGATCTTTGCAAGGAAGTACTTGACAGGGTTCCACTTGCATTCGATTGGGTTCCACTTGCACTTAAGTGGGTTCTACTTGCACTTAAATGGGTTCCACTTGCATTCAACTGGATTCCTTTTAAATCTAAATACCTACTTGAATGACTTCCTAAACTACTTGTGCTTGCAACACTTGAATGAGTTATTGAAATGTCTGAAGTTACGATTGATTGCTGCTGACTGCCCTTTGTCATACTGGCTGACAGGTTGGAGTTCCCAGATGTCGCCAGTGCACTCACTTTAGCTACCACTGAAGTTCTTTCAGCTTCACCATTGGTCATTTCTAAGTTTACACAGGCTGTATTTTCAAAGTCAAATAAAGCACTGCTAACTGGGTTTTTATTGTCTTCAAAGCTTGAAGATTTTTTTCCTAAAGGGGGTTTGTTAGCATTGATGTCCATTGAAGGTGACAGCTGTGAATTTCCAAGATTTCTTGCAGAAAAACTCCCTGTACTGTTCAACAGCTTACTTCTGTTAGACTTCAGAACCTTAGACGAGGACTGATTGTTAGCACATTCTCTTCTTGACCGCCTGGGTTTGCTCCAACTGCTTTTACCAGCAAAAGATCTGATCAAACTTTCTTCTTGAAAATCTTGTGACATTCCATAATACCTTGCAAGGATACATGCTCTTAGTCTATCAAGAGAAGTTTTAGTTTGTCGAATTCTCTGATCTATAGTCTCTATTTCTTGTTCTTTTAAATGCATTTCCATAGTGAATTGTTTTCGTACAATATTTTTGATCTTTTGGACAGCGTTGTCCTTGGCATCTTGTTGTTGTTCACTTAAACACACTTTGCTTTGCAATTTTTCTGGTAAAATAGAAACATAATCCGGATCAACAGTTTCTGTTATTCCCTGGCAGTCCTCTATGCCATTTTCTTGGTTATTTTCAGCATTTTCTGAGCTAGAAAAATCCATTTTTGGAGCAAAACATTTCACGTTTCTCAAGATTTCCAATTTGCACGTGTTTACTAGCCCATACGCATGCTCAACATACCGCTGACTTTTAAGGGGTAGGGGGTGGGGATAAAGTTGTCCTTGGCAATAAAATCTTAACTAATATTTTTTAAATGCGAAAAAAAGTCAAAAGTAATTTTTTCTAATAATACAAATGAACTTAACTTAGTCTCAATGAATTCTAGTCTTTAACAAAAGAGTCACGTTTATTCATTTTTTAAGACTTCTAAACCACCCCTCCCCTAGTAATCAGCTGAGTGACATTTGGAAAAGAAAAACAAAAATGGCGGCCAACTCGAATGAAATTTTTTCAGCTCCGCGAATCTTAGTTCAATTCTTTTCGTATGTGGCCTTCAAAGATAAAAACCTTCTATGGAATTAGAACCAGGTGATATATTAGAAGGAAGCGAGGAAAAATGGGAGGTTTTGCGTTTTCTTGGAAAAGGAAAGTGCTGTTCAGTGTTTGAAGCAAGACTAGAAGGAGAAGGTTTGGACAATGAACGACGAGCAGCTTTGAAATTCTACAAGAAAGAAGAAAAATATACCAGTGCAGGGATGAATGAGGCTCAGATACTCCAAAAGATTCATTCAGAAGATGAAAGTAGTTCGTATGGAAGGTGTTTCGTAGGTAATGTATCTTTGTCCTTAAAGCAATAATAGCAAAAGACGACCTGTCATTAGCGTCAATTTTTAGTAAAAATCATTTTCTGACATAGATTTACACTTTAATTTTCATTCCATAACTTTGTCTTGAATTTTGATGAAAGAATGGATGGATAACTGAATTAATACAATGAAATGAGTAAATGGATAAATCATTTGGTGAAGGAAAGGATGGATGAATGTATGAATGAATGGAAGGTTGGATGGACGGATAGATGAATGAATAAGCAACGGATTAATTACTAAATGAAAGAATACAAAAAGTGATTATACATAAGAGAATAAGTTAATGAATGAGCACTCAAGTGAGTGCAAAAGTGAATGAATGAATGAACAAAACAGAGAGAAAGAAAACCAGTGGCGGATGCAGGACTTTAAGAGGGGGGGTTCATTTTTGCAAATCTTGGCACAACAATAACGTTCTCTTGCATCATCATTTTTCCCATGGGCGCTCCTGATAAGGATAACCTTTCCATCAAAAAGCGTACCTACCATACTTTTATTTATTTATTTAAAAAAATATAAAAAATCTAAGGTACCAGACGGTGGGGAGGGGGGGGGGGGTTCATTTGCACCCAATGAGCCCCCCATAAATCTGCCACAGAAAACAAAGGCTTAGCACAAATAGTTTTTCTTATCAAACTTGATCTAAATTTAATCTCATTATTTCTTGCTGATTTTTTCTTCCATTAGTTAAGCTGTTAGATGTCTTCTCCTGTGATGGCTACCTTTGTCTTATCAACCCTTTATTATCATGTAGTCTCTACCACATTCTTACCAAAGGCAGCTGGGAAAATGGCCTTCCCATGTATGTTGTCCAGAAATGTTGCAGAGATTTGGCTGGCGGAATAGAATATCTTCGACAAAAGCACATAGTTCATGGTGATATAAAACCAACTAACATTATGTGGGATTCTAAAAATGAAGTTTTTCAATTTGTTGATTTTGGTCTTAGCTTTACGGAAGGACAACAGGTATTAAGGAATACATTTATTTTTTGTCATATTTTTAAATAGAAGTACAGTTTTTTAAAAGTATAGTTATTGATTTTAATACAGCCAGCGCAGCAAATTCAAAGCCCTGGGTTCCAAGCTCCAGAAGCTCAGGAATGGAATAAGAATGTCCTAAAACCAGTGACAGAGGCAAGTTTTTTTCTATGTCCTGCAGAAAATATTCAAACCTCTTCCTCAGACTCTCACATACTCCTTGAGAGGTATGGACCCTCCCCACCCCTTGAATTTTCAAATGAGGAGATATTGATATCTTTGGAACTACACAATTCTATACCCTCCTCAGACCCTCCCCACCCCTTTGGTAATTCCAATCCCCCTCCATGGGGGAGGTATGGATGTTTTCTGGATATTTTCTATTTTCCTCAGACCCTCCCACCCCTTTGAAATTACAATCCCCCTCCATAGGGAGGTATGGCTTTTTTTGGTATTACACGAAATACCATCTTCAGATCCTCCCTACCCCTTGGAAATTCCAATTCCCATCCATGGGGATCACGGTATGAATATTTTATGGAACTACACGATATATGCTCTTTGGACATTAAATATTGCAAATTTTTCTCTCTAGGTACCAATGTGTAGTAGTGCGTGTGATACCTGGAGTATGGCATGTGTACTCTTCCTTCTTCACACTGGCCAGTCATTATTCCAGGTTGATAGTCACCTGTCAATCATCTGTCATGCTTGTCATCAGGTATAGAAACTTTTAATTCACAACCAGCTACTAAGACAGGGGGGAGGAATTAATGTTAGTATTTGTTATTCTTGATACAAGGTTAAAAAATACACAAAAAATTCTATCTTGCTTCTTGGTGGCTGCTGTTGATGGGATTCCTGTGGATTTGGCGGGAAACTTTATGCCAAGTGCGCTGAACCATCTCCCCCAACTGTGGGACTCTTATACTCGCTCCAGCTTTACACCATTGTCTTAATTCATGCTATATTTATACAGGAATTTCATTGCGTTTCGAAATGATTGCAGAAYGTCATAAACTAGTATAGCGGGAGAGTCTAAGTGAGAGTTTTACAAACTACTAAACTAATAATTCTCGTTTAAGATGGAGCATTTTGCTCATTAACCGGACGTTCTCTTATCCCCGACCCCTAAAACCCCTATTTATAGCATTCTTATCTTGTTCTTTCTCTCATTTTTGATTTGATTGAAGGATCATCCAGTAGATTGCATCCACGGTAAAGAAGTTACAAATCAGTTACTACAACATTCATCACAAAACAAGGATGTTTTTTCTAAGAACCACCTTGAATCCATGACTGATCTCTTGATCAAGTAAGTCTAGGGATGGGCAAAAACGTTTTTCCAGCCAAAAAGCGTTGAAAAACCTTTCTTAATTTCGAAAACACATCAGATAATGATGAATTGGTGAATGGGGTTCAAAATAAGCGCGCTTCTATTGATCTGGAAATATTGCTTCAGTTCTGAGCCAAGGCATAAAAGGTGCGTAATTCATTCATCATATCGAACCTGCAGTTGTTTTTTTTGTTTTTTTGTTTTTTTGGCATAGATAAGAATTTGATGCTAGCAATGATGGGGAGTTTGAAAATTCCATCAAGCTTTACTTCTCTTCAACTTGTTTTTTGCTGTCAATGTGTAGTTTCTTTCCCTTACAGGGCGGTTTCGACTTACTAATGTTTGTTATATTATTGATTAATCTCAGGATGGTTAAATGTCGTCCAGATGATAGGATCACTCCGAGCGAGATCTTGGATCATTCATTTTTGAGTCCTCAGCTTACTATAACAAGTACGTTACAGAATCACTGGTAAACCCACTGGCTTGCGCGGGCTTCCTGTGGCCTGCTGCCAATCCAAACGCGCGTAGGATTGCTGGGAAGTCTAACTAATCTGTTTACTTCTTACTGCGCATAATCGACGAAAGAAATAGGAGCCTATTTATTTTGTCGAGCATGCGCAGTAAGAAATAAAGGCTTTGGGTACTAGATTGAGGTCTAATAAATCTAACACCTGCGCGCGCAGAACTAATAAAAAGTATGAATCGATTACTAGACCATTTATTACTCTCGCGGTGCTAGTTTGATTGAAATAACGTTTGACTTGACGTTTACTCAAAGTGCAGAAGTTTCTAGTACGCACGGTAGCGACTATTTTAAGCAATTCAATAAAAAAATTTTCTTGGTTGTCGTCGATGCTCTTTATCTATTCTTTTCATGATTATTTTCATCCCATCTTCAGATCCCAGTCTCGTTGAATTACTGTTCCTGCCAACTAGAGTGTTACTGCTGACCAATATGTTTGAAAACACAAGTGAACTTAACCAATCAGACGAGTACGAAGGTATACCATTTTTCATTTGCATAAAAGTCGAAAAATCACTTATTAACTTTTTCAAATAATGTATTGACATTTTAAAAAGATTTTCTTGAGCGTGTCATAAATATTCTTTTCCAGTTTATACCTACGTCTTTCTAAAAGGAAAGAAAAGGAAAAGGAAGGGATAAGAAAAGAGAAAGGGTGTTATTTTGCGTTTCTCAGTTACTAAACCATGTTTGCTACTTTCTCATTTGATTTTAGATTTTATAGATGATATAAAGGAAGAATGCTCAAGGTTCGGTGTGGTTAAGTCTGTGCGGATACCCTGTGTTGAATATGGTTCAACAAACACCGATCTTCTAGGGAAGGTACGTTAGAGTAACCACCTTTGATCGAATATTAATCCTACCTCAATTTAATAATTTAAATTGCGCACACAAATCGTAAAATTCAATCAAAGAAAGGAACAATCATGTCTACGGTACCAACCTCGTCCCCGGGCTCCTTTCGGCGGACTCTAGTTGTATATGGCGGTCGCCCGAGAGGACCCTGGGGACGAGATTGCTACGGTACGATATAGAGTTTCCAAAGCCAGTTAAGGGTTCCTGTTACTCGGTCGATGAAACTCTCGTGTTAAGGAAGTCTAGTAAGGTCAGTTTTTGCCTATAATAAAAAGATACTACAACTCTAGAACTTGATTTTTTTTCTTTCGAAATTCCGGATTTTTGGAAATTTTTATTTTGGAAAATAGGGAATCGCATAGGATGGATTCGAGTGGACTTTGGATCTTGGATCGCAAAGACATTCTTTTTCGTTAATTTTTCAGCTTTTAAGAAAGTATGGATAACCCTAATGCATAGCAAAAACATGCCCAAATTTTAAAATTTGATTTATTCTCCTAAATTATGAGATTTTAAAATTTTTTTATTTCGGAAAAACCGGAATTGTATATATTGGACTGGACGTCGTTTAACTGGATCTTGGATCGAAAAAAAACCCCGGCAAATTTGCGGCTTTTAAGTCATTTTAATCTCCCTAATCTAGTAATAAGCTTTCGGCGCTGTAATGGTAACGGAATTCGTTTAAGAAACTTTCGAAAGCCAAAGAAAAAATGTTGGTATTCAAATGTTTTGTTTTTATAACCAAAAATTTAATTTGATGGCTAATCTTAATTGGGACGAAATTAGGAAGAAATATTAATTTTCACTGTATCTAATTGGCCGACGTCTAAACTAATCACATCCAGTGTTCTATATCGACCTCGCACATATCAACTCTACTTCTATATTTGTTAGGTTTTTGTTGAATTTGAAAACACCCAGGACTGCGAAGAGTGTCAACGGTGTCTGACTGGAAGGATTTTCAATCAGAGGACAGTTATTACCAGTTTTTATCCTTTCAAAAAGTACAAAGATCTTGTTCATTAATCCTTGATAAACTTCGGAACCGATTGTTTACATATGCGCGGAACTTAAAAAAATGTATATTGAAAAATGCATTACAAAATGAAATTTATTTCCGAGGGGTTTAAGACTATTATCAATATTTGTAGAGTTGTCGGATGATATTTTAGAATCAAATTGGTTTAAATTCTTGTCGAATGCAGACTTTCATATAAATTTGATATAATTTGTATAGTTGGAAGCCTATACCATGTCGGTGACACTAAATTGGTTTCCACTTTAGACCTATCAGAAAAAGAGAAAGCGCACACCATCCAATCAAAATGCTTCGCATATGAAAACCATTTGAGTGTCCCGGTCATTTTTCAGCTCTGTTTTCTCTCAGAATGATTGAAGTCAGGACGAGAGACCAAACAGAATTCGTATAATGGGAAGACTGCTGTCGACTCTTCTCTATCATTCAAATGGCTTTCGATATATAAGAGCTAATCTGAAACACGAAAAGTTACAGTATCCATGACAATCACAATGCTTAAATTGTTTATGAAAGCCACTTGATTGCACCGTAAGTTTTCTATCAATAAGTCCGTATGCAGCTAAAATCTAGGGGTGGGGTGGGTAGGGTAGTGATTGTTATATAAGGAGGAAGAGTTATTCGAGAGTCGATCTTTTCACGTTGTCAATGTCTACAGTATACATAACATTATTGAAACAGTGATGTTGTGTCTACGAATAAATGTAAAGTTCTCTCACGAGCGAAGTGTGTCTGATGTACTATCAAAAAAAGACAAAGTACCGACCACGAATTCAAGTGTTTTTCTCTGACCTATATTAACCTGAAGTTTGTCTCTCTGTCAACACTACATGGGCTTTGGATTCTGTACCTTTATTGCCTTGAAATGGCCTGTCGGACTGTGTAAACATTATTCATGTACAGCAACACGAAAATTAATCGCAGATATGAAATAATCGCTGGGGAAAAAATTCGATCTAATTAATGTATTAAATATTAATATGAAGTTTAAAGTTGGAAAAAAATTAACACCTTTTTGGTCAGTTATTTTGGTTGACAATCTGTAAACGCTTCAGGAAAACCTCGAAAACGGAAAAAATGACGACTCGAGTGTGTTTCTTCCGAAATGTACAAAAATATTTTTAATTTTGTTCCAATAGTAATTTGTTTATAAAACAAAGCTGCTTTGCCTCTCAATCTTTTTGTGATTTTTGGAATTTACTTTGTGTTCGATAAAAATAATCATGTAATAATTATACAGAAGGAAAATAAAGTTAAAGCTACTAGATAAATTATTATGGCAACGCTAAATTCACTTAACGTTTAGCTCGATCTCAAATTTCTAAGTTTCTAATGAAAAAAATTGATAAAATCAAACTTATGTTTTTCTGAATATTTCATCTATGTTCAGTTCTCTCTCCGGGTCGTCTTCGTCTAATACCATGTGTGGTTTTCGTAATTTTCGGATATATCTTGCTTTTTTAGCTTCGGCAAATAAATCCTTTAGCGGCGGTAGTAAATAGACTGTTCTAGGAAGGCCGTCTGGTGGGACATGCATGTAAGGATTTAAATCAGAATCATCCGCAGTTTGATCTGAATTTTCGTAACTGGCTGTGAGTCTGTTTTGAATTCGACCTCTCGCAGCGTCCACATCCAAACCTAGAATTGTATCAGACTTTGTCATTTCCCTTGAGCTAGGCCGAATAAGTTTTTCTTGAGTTATTGTTCCATATTCTTCTCTATTTTCCCCTGAAAGTTTCATTTTTACCGGCGCGCTAGAGTTCTTGTCACAAGCGCTTGTTAATGATGTGTTAGTGTTGTGTTTAATAGTTGTTGTATCCAAGGTTCTGTTGACATTTGAACTGTCTGGAATTTTCAATACAGCATTGCTCAATTCGCTAGCGTCTTGTCCTTTTAGTAACACTTGCTTTTCTGTAGTAGTGTGTGAAATATTTGATAGAACTGGCAGTTGATCTGTATTGACTAAATCTTTACTATAACGTATAGCTTTTTCCTCAACTCGTGGCATGTATCCCGCATCTTGCGTTACACGATGTTTTTTCTTCGCGACTCTTGGCTTATGTCGTCTTCTACTCCTTTGACCCAAGTTTCCTCTCTCTAAACCTTCACTAGTTTCCTTATTTACAATAAGATACCCAGAAGTTTGCTTGATACCTTTTAACTCATGCTTCAGCCTCCTCATTTCGTAGTTCATCGAACTCAAGTTGGTACTCTCGTGATCGGTGAGCGTCCCCTTGTTTAACTCCAGACGATTTCTTACTCTTTTGTTTTCACTACGAGCTACACTTTCCTTATAATCAAGCCTTTCGGCCGTGATTTGAACTGGCATCCTTCGAGGGGTTTTCTCGCTCATTTTGAAGCGATTTGCCCAAGAATCCTACCTAGACCTCTTCCTCGCGACGTATTAAATAGCACCCCCAAAGGACTGTAAGTTCTATGTCCGATCCACTTACAGATTGTCAATTAAGTACACCATGTCATTCCTTGATATTTTGAATAATAATGCTCCGGGCTGTGTCACTTTACGTAGGTGGTGAAAATTCTCACAAAAAGTAACACAAAACAAGCTCTTAAACAATTTTTTGCCTCTTGTTCTTCTAAAGAATTCGAAGATTAAGCTTAATTTATCAAAGCACAAAGCCGCTTTTCTTAATGACATGCCTCGATCGTTAATTATCTCGTAAGGTATCCCCAAAGCATCGTATCAACACTTTTTTTTGTGTGTAAATAAACTTCGAAGTCTGTGCCAATAATGACACGTAGAGAGAATAAAAACTGGAACATGTTTGACAGGACTTACGTCGAGACTCTATTCTGTTCAGTCACATTAGGAATCGAAAAATAAATATCATGTATAAAGATTGAAAAGTTTCTGTGGCGCAAGAACAGCGGGTTATGTTTGATTTGGGAGAACGTCTTGCAGAGCTTAAGAGGTCTTGTCCTTTAAGATTATGGAATCGTACAATTCCCATTACCTTAATACTTGTTTACAGTAATGATAAAAAGGAAAAATTTTAATTCTTGTTTGTGCAGTTCTTGGGATCGAAAACAGGTTTCGTGCCTATCTGCCTTGACCTAGTTATTTAAGGAAGTAGAAATTTTAAGTCGAAAAAAAGATGAAATAGAAAAACAGAAAGTGGGTATCGTGAAAGTTATCGGCATTTTCTGTTCTTGGGAACTTGTTCGTATCGCATCATTAGCGACGTTTAGGTTCGTACTTTTCGATTTTAATGTTGGGTGTTTTGTTGTAGATCATTCTTTGTCTTTTTTGTTTGTTATCATTGTTGTTATTTTTGATATTTTCCTTTGATTTTCCCTCTTCTTTCCTTTCCTTTCCTTTCCTTTCCTTTCCTTTCCTTTCTCTTAGTATCTTTCTCAATTCCATCTTTTCTTGCTCTTTTTCTCTGGAAGCTAAAAGAAGTTCAAAAAATACGAAGAAAGGTAATGGCAGCGCAACAGTTAGAATTGAACAAAAATAAATTCATTCACCCAAAAAAAAAAAAAAAAATAGAGAAGAGGAACGAAAAACAGTTTGTGCTCTAGCTCATGTACTTTGGGATACCTGTGGAGCACAGTGCGCACGCGGTCCCTCATTAAAATGCAAATGTATTCAAGTTCTTCAAGTTACCGGTGTCCAGCGGAAGTCATCGTGTAGTCAAGAGGAAGTGAACAAGTTCTTAGCATGTAGTCATGTAGTAAGCTAAAAAACGTTCAAAAAACCTTACAAAACAAGCTTCGATGTTTGCTAAACTCAAGCAGAAGATCGCTGAGGAGGAGACGTCTTCAGATGGCACTACATCACAACCTCAAAGCCCTCAAACTCGGCGATCTAGGACTTCAAAACCAAAGATCAATGGATGGTCAGAAAATAAGTGGGAAAAAAGACGACTTAGTACTGCAAGTTTATACGAATCCAAGGAATCTGTGTTTAGTGAATTATCTTCTACTCCTGGTTATGGCCGTAGAAGGACTTCATTCTCGAGTAGAGCTTCATCAGTCACTCCAACATGGGCTCCATCGCCTTGTGATTCTTCAAATGCATCGGTAAGTTTGAGTGCAAGCGATTCTATGGTTTGTGATTACAGTCACTCATTTAATTTTTAATACCATGCATGGCTTCGAAGTGACTGAGACTACCTAAGTTAGTAATATTATTACAAAAATCTTAATCCTTCTTCGCAAACTTTACCATATAGTTTAACAGATATAATCTAAGCCGTATTTTTGATGAGAGCAGATAACAGCTGAGATTCTTTAAACGTATCAAAAATATATCTCTTTGTATAGTTATTGTTCATTTAATTTGAGATATTGATGTTACATTAAATCAATATAAAGCAATAAAATCCCTCTAAGACGTTTACTCTTTGTGGATTTAAGTTTGAAGAAGGATTTTCAACCATTTTGATATGTGTTCGTGCGTTTTATTACGTTTGAATCGCTTGTTCAAGGAAGCAAAAAAGAAAATTTTATGGTATTTGAATCTCGTTAATAAATAATAAACCAGTGTTGTGGAACGATTTGTTAAGAAAATCTCCAACTAAACAAAAAAGATTATAATAAAACCATCGCATAAGCTTATTTACAAACTATTATTTGAAACTTTTACAGTATCCAATGTAGATTGAATATTTAAATATTATTATAATTTTTGACGATACACGTTAACATTTTTCCATCAATTAACTTAAATTTTGTCCTATTGGGAAACTACTGCTAATTTTGCAAAATTACTCAAAAAGATTTATATTCAATGCAGTTGAAAAAATTATATGAAATTATTTTCATAAAAAAAATTGTCCTATGAAAGCAAACAGATTTTGAAGCTATTGTACTAATGTATTTTAAAGTTTTATACAATGAAATAAGTGTGTTTACAATAGCAAAATATCTATATTTCTATAGTTAGATCTAAAATTCTATATTAAGTTTTGTGTAAGCAACAGTATATTTTGTGTAGCTCCATGACAGCTTCAGCTCCTCCTTGTTTTTGACACCATTTTTTATCTAAGCTCCAAAGGTGGATGAATAGCTGATCCACCCCCTACGTACCCTATAGTTCTGCCTTTTGATTTTAGTGTCATGATTTCAAGTTGCAATTGAAAGTTGTTTTGATTTGCATATATATTTTACACCCATGGGCAAACCTCTGTTTCACAATTTTGGGGGGGAGGGTTCGCAAAAATAAGAAAATGCTCCCTTTTAGCAATTTAGAATATTTAATTTATTCCAAACCAGAAAGGGGTGGTTATGAGGACCCTGTGACTACCCACTAAATCATCCATTGTGCACATTGTATGTAACCAGATGTAACAAAAAGTCACATAAGAACAGGAGAAGTTGAGGAGTTTTGTAGTCTCAAATACGCTGAATTATTTTATCACTGTTTTAAGGTTGGTTCAGGAGCATCTCGGGAAGAAATCCTAGCAATGCTTGCTGAGAAGACAGAACAAGTCGCAAGACTGGAGGGAAAGATTCAAGGTACACATTCACACATTTCATTTGTAAAATTATTGGGCTGTAATACACATGCAGCTATAGCAGTGTAATAATCTCTATGCAATGTATGCCCATATTTCCTTTAAGTCTTAGAATGATGTATCACCTATTGGACATTTGCATGATGGTATCATTTGATTCCCACTATCAGACTCCCTTGCACATTTTCTTTTGTTCAGTTAATTAACACCAATTGTCTTACTATTCTCATGAGGAAATACAAATTTGAATAAGAAAGAAAATTAGCTAAGCATCTTGGTAGTGGGAGTCAAATGATGCCATCATGCAAATGTCCTATTGCCTTGGAAAATCCTACTCATTACCAAAATAATATTCTCACTGAAAACCTAATATTATCCACACATCTATTTACAGTATCTCTTTTGATAATTGTTTCTAGGGATGGCAAGTTTAATTAAAGAAACTAACAGAACTAAAGACATGTTAGAAGAGAAACTAGAAAAGCAACAAAAAGGTACTGCATATTAAATGATAATATTCAGCCGATAAATTCAAAAATAAGCTGATTGAAGAACAAATAGTCCCCTTCATGGTTCCCTTCACCATCTTGAAAGGTAGCTGTGCCTTTGCACCATAGCAAGACGAACGGTGAGCTTGCAATAATAGAGAGGTGTGAATAATTGTTCAAGGTGTTAAAAAAGGTCTCTATCTTTTCAAGCTCACCGTTCGTCTTTCAAAATGGCACAGGGAACTGTGAAGGGAACTATTGTGAGACTTATATTTAAAAGTGACAGGGATCATGGACAGACAGTGCTGGATCCATGAATCAGAGAAGCGGGGAGGGGGTGCAGAATACTTCAGTGTTAGATGAACCTCTATCAATCATATAAAGGGGGCGGGAAACCTCTATGACTTGGAAAATGAAAAGGAGGTCTATGGCCCCCTGGGTCCACCCCTAAATCTACAGTACGCTTGGCAGATTTATTGGGATTGCTGAAAATTTCTCTGTGTCCTTTGTGATTCATCCACTCCACGTAGGCTATGGTCAAAATTAGAATCTTGAATCAACTTATGCTACTTTAATTATACCTAAATAGATAGTGATAACAAGAAATGTATCAGTAGTCGGGGGTGGCAGTCACTCTTACTTCACCCCTGATGCTATGCATGATCATGTCAAATTCTTAATATATAGAAAACTGTGCACAGTAAAGATTTAAACCACTATTTAAAACACAACCTTAAAACAAACAATGCTAACCTTTCTTCTAAAAATAGAATCAAGCAGAAAATTACAAGACCTCGATGAAGAGTTTGAGCAGAGAATAATAAAGATAAAAAGTGACCATGAAAAAGCATTAAAACAAAAATCTCAAGTAAGTTTAAACAAAGTTCTAAAAAGACTAAAATAAATTATAAAATCCATAGTTTGAATTATCTTAAAAGTGGCAATTCTAGGTAAATTTTAAACCTTATATCTCCTTATTTTTTCTCTTCCTCTGCTTCCTCTGCTTCCTTTTCTAATCTCTTCCTCCTCTTCTCCATGAAGGAAGCATCCTACATCTATTGCTGTCGCATTGATACATGACCTCTATTGCTCTTGTGATCAATGTCTTTCCCATTTTTTCTTCTCATTTTTCTCTCCTTCTATTCATTCTTTTTAAAACCTAGATCTTCCACTGCCTAAACATTTTGTTGACTATAACTGACAATAACATAAAGAATTCCTAATTTAGAAATGTTTAAAAAAAATAAAACTTAAAAATATTATAGTATTGAAATTTTTCTAGCAAACTCACATTAAACCTACCTCAGTTTTTTTTTAATTATTTAGATTCATGGCTGCTATACAGGCTGCTATTGCAGTTGAACCTGCAGTCAAAAATTCTTTTGTCTTTTAAGTCTAATGGGTCAATACAACGGAAAACCGCTGGCAACCGTAATTTTTGCCATTGATTTTTCCCCAATACAAAATGAAGTTTTGGTGAGAATTTTGCTAATTTGCATTTGCGCTTAACCCTTTAGGAACTGAGCGATAAAGTCAAAGCGCATTCAGCGGTAAGCAGCTTTAAAAGACATTTTTTCACTTTCTTTAACTAAACACTATATCGGGAGGAGGGGGGGGGGGGGGATGCAAATTGACTTTGATAGTGCTCCACATATTAATCTGTATTTTGCGCAACTCTAAATTCTTGGGGGAAGGGCAACTACGACGTTCATGTTGGCATTTTCGTAGCCAGACCCAGCTGTTTTGACTGATAATCCTGCGATTTTGCTAATGAGTAGGATATGGGATCTTGTTGGTTGATATTCTAACGACGCCAGCCCGCTGACCAAAAAGCCGGAACACTCTGGGCTTGAGGTTGAATAAATATAAAATGTGGGCGCGTGATAAAAACCAGGAGTTGTGATTTTTTAATGCTTACTTAACGTTAGGAGAGCAATCGCAATGAAGATTTGCGCGAGCTTCACCACTTACAAGAGGAAGAACTGACAAAAATGAAATCCATGGTATGTCGCAAAGTTTTTAAAATAAAAGTCATAAAAGATGCTTTTTTAAACAGCAAAATAAAAACGGATTCTGGGGTAGTTTTAAAGTGAGTTTGCTATAGTTTATTACCATAAATGAAATTTAAAAACTAAAGATTGTGTCATCGATGACGTATTAAAAGCTGACGTAACACTATGTCGTCATAAATTCAGTAAACCCTTCAGTAAACCCTTTAAAAAATGATATAATGTTATGCATGAAAATAAGAAATATTTTTTCTTTTTATCCTAAATTATTATTTTCGTAAAACAGTTTATTCAATATCAAACCGACGCTACTCGAAAAGCTGCTGAAATACTTGAAAAGAGCAAGGTAAATAAAAATAAACTAAAACAAACAAAAGCAAAATGAGAGGTACAGTGATGATGATGACGATGATGGTGGTGATGATGATGATTACGATGATGGTGGTGGTGATGGTGATAGTGATGATGATAATGATGATGGCCAAGGATGGGTAAACATTGCACAAGACAATTCATGTCTATTGTGGTAGTGACGTTTGTGTTGTTGATGATGACGGTGATGATATCTTTGGCGCAGTATGTAAAAGCCTTAATATTATTTTCTACGATGATTATCCCCCCAGCAACTTGACGAACTTGATCAAGAATACGCCAAACAGAAGGCAGAGCTTGGATCACTACAGGACAGACTTGATGACCTAGCGAGGGAAAGGTAACCTGAGTATCAAAGTGCCAAGAGACCCGATAAAGGACAGAGCTCCTCATGGTCTCTTCTTCAAATTCTCCCGATGATTTTTTCCGATCTTTGTTTTCTACTCGCTCTTCTTCTACACCAAACCCGAGTCCTCTCCCTTCCTCCTCCCCCTCCCCTTTCCTCCTCCCCTTCCCCTTTCTCCTCCCGCCTTCCTCTGGGGCCTCATACTTAGGTTCTCCTACACCCTTCCCAGGAAGGTTACATAAAAATGAAGCTGATATCTGTTCGCATTTCAGGAACCATTAGGTTTTTGTCGGGGAGGGGGGCGGAGGTGGGATTTTTGGAAGTCATTAAAAAATCAGGCTCAAAAGGGTGGAAACAAAAAAAATCCGACCGCAGCCCTTTTACAGCAGAGCAAGAAAGAAGGGATCTTTTGCATGGTTAGCAAGCAAATCCCACTCACCCCCCCCCCCCTAACCGATAAAAGTGAACGGTTGCTTATGTATTTTTCACAGAACAAAATACGAAGCGCGAGAAAAACAACTTCAGACTAAAGTCACGAGTATAGAAAAAGAAAACACTTCTTTACGAGACGAGCTGAACCAAACAGTCAGCGAGCTGACACAGGTATGGATAACTGTAACATACTGTAACACCCTTCAGGTGAGACACTGGTGTTGTTGCTACTGCTGTTGCTGTCGTTGTGCTGTCGTTGTGCTGTCGTTGTGCTGTCGTTGTGCTGTCGTCGTGCTGTCGTTGTGCTGTCGTTATTGCTGCTGCTACTGTCTTTTTTTTTCACCATAGACATTGTTACATCGTTCTTTTTTTCTTTCAGTCTATTTTTCATTAAAATGTGTATGCAATTTTTTTGCAGAAATCGCTCCAACTTTCCAGAACTGAAAAGTCAATGGAAGACACGCAGAGTGAACTAGCAAGCTTGAGACAATCCTACACTTTTTACAAGAACCAGGTAAGACTAGACTAAACTAAGGTAGAACCGGCTGAAACGAAACCAAAGTATGATGTGTTTTAAAGTGTCTTTTTTTTCTACGACATTTGCAGACAACTACAGAGCTCCATGAAAAACAGGTTAAAATCGAGAATATAGAAGAAAGAAATGGAGATCTTGAACGCAGGTATGAAACTAGCCTTTTTAAAATTTATTCTCAGACTTTCTTTTCATCTCTAGGCTCGTTGTAAAAAGTGTCTTGAGAGTCGATTTGCCAAGTTACTATAAACACAGATAACCCACCAAAAGGAAATACAAAAGATCCACAGAGTCAATGTTCCTCAGGCCAATTAGCGCCTTTTTAAACACAGCAACTGTGAGGTATCCTTGCTAAATAAGGCTAATTGAATATTTTCCTTTCTAGGTTGCAAGACTGTAAGCTGTCAGGAAACGATAAGTACGGGGCTCTGGAGAGAGAAGTAAGTGCTGTTAGTTTGACCTAGTCATTAGTTTAAATGAACAAGGATGAGCTAGGTTTTTTAGATTTTGCGCTAAATTCAGGAATCGAACCTAAGACCAGAGGCGAGAGAAAACCACCCCAATCTTTAAATCCCAAACTTATTTCCTCAAATTTTTCAGAGGATAAATTGCATCTACCCATTGTGCTTCCAGCCTTCTTCATTAAGACATAAATTTTGATTAAACTAAAATACAAACACTCATCCCTTATTAGTTGTGTAAAAACTTAATTTTTTTCATCTTTTCACGGTGTATAATTTACCCTTTTATCATTACTGTTTCATTAGAAACACCGACGCAGCTCACACTAGTTTTTAGCTAGTTATCTCTTCTTAAAAACTTAATGATCTCACCCCCCTAGATTCCTCCACCCCCTCTCCCCCCTCCCAAAAAAAAACCCTTAATAAAGACAGGAGCATAAATAACGCTCTTCAATATCCATGTTTTTTGCTTCACCAGCGACAAACGCTAGAGGAACGACTATCAGAGGCAAGAAAACAGCTGAGTGAATCTAGAGCCGCATCTAATGATAGAATCAATACCCTTGGCTCGCTGGTTAGTTCGGCTTTCTACTATATATCATCTATAGTTTACTTAAAATTTGGCAACCAGACAAGGGAGTTTGAGTATCAAATTTTAGTAATGCAGTTAGCGCTCTCATAGTCTATAATGATTCATGTAAGCCTGCGATCTAAAAGTGTATTTCCCAGATGATTATGGTGGTTGTCAGCGACGCGCAACTTAATGCGCGACTCGAATAACCCCACCCCACCCCCTCTCGTAGCATATCGACTGACTGATGTATTGTTTTAGGTGAGCACTCTGAACGAAAGGCTGGAGCGAAAAGAAACCGCGCTGACAGAATGTAAACGAATGCATGAAATTGAAACAGCTTCTTTGAAGGACAAGGTAGGTCCAGATAACACAGGGATCCCGTACGCTCCCCCCCTCCCAACTTCACTTCACTCAACTTCAGAGTGTTCTATCAGTCTTCACTGCGCATTCGTCGAGCATACGCAGTAAGAATGACAAGGAAGGATATATTTATTCTCTCGGTACGCAAACCTTCGGCGTATTTCCTCAAGACAATTATTTCCTGCCTTCTCGACCAAAGTCCCCGCGCGCAAACCTACAACACAGGCAACCCACGCGATAAAAACCAATACTCGTGCAGCTTTATTAACAACGTCGATATTATTTCAGATATCTAATTTAGAAGAACGGCTGGCCAGTTCAAGTCATCTATTGCAAGATAAGGCGAGTGAATCTGAACGAATGCAGGCATTGATACAAAAGGTAACCATAGCAACGTAACCAATCAAGAAAATGTTTCTAATAATATTAATATTAATAATAATAATTATTATCTATATTGCGCATATTCTATAAAATAATCATATGAGCATAATTATAGTGCTGATATTTGGTGGCTTTGGTTTGTGGTTTTAGAATGAGCAACTTGAGCGGGATCTTGAGAGAGCTCGACAAAATATGAATTGCACGAGTAAATCAGCTGATGAACAAATATCCAATATGGAATCTGAGGTAGGGATTTTCTTTATTCATCCGGCATCCATTTGTTCGCCCATCCATTAATCTGTACATCCACCCATCCCTTCATCCATCCCATCCCATCCTATCCCATCCCATCTCATCCATCCCATCTCATCCATCCCATCTCATCTGTTCCATCTCATCCATCCCATCCACCCATCCCTTCATCCATCTCATCCCATCCCATCCCATCTCATCCCATCCCATCCCATCTCATCCGATCCCATCCATCCATCCATTCATTTATTCCTTCATTTTCCCAGATCAATCGACTAGAGGATTTACGCATACAGGAACATGAAGAAGTACAAAAGAAAATGGTCAGTTAACTGTTCTCAATTCATATTTCCATTTATTTCCCATTTATTCATTCCCATCTCTTACAATGGTGTTTCTCATTCTTTCTTCCTGATATATATATTTTCCAGGGTCGTTTAAATGAAATAGAAAAGGAATATTCCGTCCGTGTGGACCAGTATAAACAACGCATCGCTGACCTGGAAGAAGAGAAAGAACAGCTCCAGGTATAACAGACGCACTATGTCGGGAAACACGGGTGGTGTAGGGAAACACGGGTGGTGTAGGGAAACACGGGTGGTGTAGCGGTGTGAGCGCTCGCCTCTCATCAGTGCGACCCGACTTCGAGTCCCGCCGGGTGCGGTGTTGTATATGAGTAGAGTTATTTGTTGGTTCTCTCCTGTGCTTCGAGGGTTTTTCCGGGTCCTCCGGTTTTCCTCCCTCCGCAAAAATCAACTCCTAAATTCCAATTCGATCACGGAATGAGTGCTACAGGTTTGTTAGCCACAGGCTATTAAGTGCTACCCTCGCGAAAAAAGGACGATTTCTTTTACTATTCTTCGTTTAGACATGTTGGTGTTATTCAACGAAGGATTTCTCATTACCATCCATTGTTAATCGCACTAAAATGGTCTTCTGGCTTTCTTATCTTTAATATCATGGAAATGCTTGCAACCCTTGAATAGAGGCTATGCACCATCACGTGCTGGTGTCCATAATGCAGCTTGGGCTGCCTGTGGTTAGACGGCCTAACAATAAAATCCCTTTGCTCTTGGAAATTGAATTCTTTCTTATTTAAAACGATTGTTTCTGCCATCTAACATGGCTGCCGTCACCTCAATAGGCCATTATCGTGTTAGTAATATTTTGAAATATTTTTAACAGAATTTTTTTAAAGCAACGGCAGCATTTTCTACTTATAAATATTAAGACCCTGTGTGTAGGTCGGACCGAGGCTTGAATCCACGACCTCTCCATCTTACTCTTTGTTTGATACACAACACGGTCACGCTAATACGAAAATAACGCCATCCACTGAAAAAAGTTCTATTTATTTTAGGGAGAATTAGACTCTCAGACAGAGGAACTGCAACAAGTATCACTGTGTCTGGAAGATGCCATGACTCGAACCAATGAGCTGAAGAGTCAGGTATGGTTGCTATGGTGAGGTCATGTAGGTGCCACACTTTGATGACAGAATGGTGGTGGTGATTGTGATGGTTGTGATGGTGATGATAATGATGGTGGTGATGATTGTGATGATGATAATGAAGCTGATGATGATACTGATGGTGCTGATGATGATGATTATGACTCTTGATGATACTGATGGTGTTGGTGATGATGGTGATGGTGATGGTGATGATGATGATGATGACGCTGTTGATTATAATGATGGTGGTGATGATGATGGTGATGATGATTGTGATGATGATAATGAAGCTGATGATGATACTGATGGTGGTGTTGATGGTGATGATGTCGATACGTTGATCTAGCAATATAATGATGGGATCCTCGTCAATTGTTTTTTTTAGATTGCTAATTTTGAACAAAATCTAAAAGACAAGGATGGAATGTTAAACTGTGTCAGAGATTCCAAGGTAATGAAATCTTTCATGATTTATGTGTAGACAGTATTTATTTAATGGTTTGTTCCCCCTTTCTCTCCCCCCTCTCTGCCATTATTTCTTTCTCTTTAGTACTACCCCTTTCCATTTTTCTCATATCCCATCTTTTCTTTCGTTCCCACTCCACTGTTGTTTCCTCTTGAACATTTCTACAACTCCCATTATCATTCCTCTTTTTCCTTCATGAATCATTTTTATCTTCCTTCTCATCTTTTTCCATTTTTTCCCCACATGTAATGCTGCACTATCATCAGATATATAAGATTATTTTCTCTTACTAATGGGCCATTATTTAACTAATATTATTTTCTGATACAGGGAGAGCCTTCTGATATTCAGTACGGGTCCATATCAAGTGTAGACGCTGTTAATGCTTTACGAAAAGACCTGGATAGTACCAGAGTAAGAAAATGCCTGAATATTAACGATAACCTCCCCCAACCCCTCCCCC